TAACACAAACCAAACAAACTGCTTAAGAAAGTAAAGACTAAATTTTAGCTTATAAGAAAATTACAAATGATTATCACTTAAAAGATAGACTGCCAAGTGTGGTATCAATGCTGTAATCACAGCATTCCTCAAACTAAATCAGAAAGATTGTGTTCCAGGCCACACTGGAACCCTGCCTCAAACTCGTAAGCTGCAGGTGTAAGCAGAGACCTAGCTAGCATAGCCACGCTCTGGGTTATACCTCGAACACCACAAAACGAAGCAAAGGGTTAAAGTGTAACAGACACAAAGCTACAAAACACAACAAATGATCAGAGCAGGTTACCCTGAGGGTTCCTTTAAGTGGCCATCTCCTAAAGTACATTTGTAATTAGATATAATTGCATTTGTAATTAGTTTAATAGAAATTCAGTTAGTATGTGGAGTATTTTCTTCTGCTGCCAAAAGCAACTACATACAAACTTCCACTGTATTCTGTCATTGGTATTTGTATTTTCCTGGCTAGTTTCCATTTTGTCCTTTCTGTATGTCCCCTCTTCAAGTGTTCCAAGAGGATTCTGTTGCTGTTGCTGCTTATGAGATTATGGACATCTATGAAACCCCCATGGAAAGTGATCACTTTTGGTGGTCTATTCTTAGTCAATGCTGTCACACCACTCGAATGGCCATGATGAGTCTAATACGAACTCTAGAGTCGGAATCAGGAGGGCAGGCTTCTCTCCAGACCTCTGTCTGCAGACACAGCAGCTCAGATCCTAAGGCCGTCCTGTTCTGCAAGCTTAAAACAAAGCACATTGTCCACCCAGTTCACTGTCCTAGACAGTCACATTCTGTTCTCCATGGCAGGAACCCGGTTCTTTGTAGGACGGCAGACAAAGAAGCAAACCATTCTTACAGAACTGGTTCATGCTGCTTCTCACCTAAGAGATTGCCTTCCACATAATACAGTATTAAAATTGAAAACGCCGACACTAGAATGTGGAAGTCCTCTGAATGATTCTCAGAGCAAGCGCTCAAAGCTGGTTTCTACACTCTTCACATTGATGTGTCTTACCAGTGCGGGCAGCCTGCTGAGCTCACTGCTCTGGGGTATGATTCTAGGAGCAGCTTGGGACATTTGTCTCCATTCTCTGGACCTGATTTATTATCAGAAACATTTAATCATTGTTAACTAACATATGCAAAATTGGTGATAAACACATACCCTCATTACACGGACAATGTAAGCCACAGAAAATTAAAGAGCAATACTCTGGGAAAGCCTGCGAGTGTGACAAATCAGTCAGGGTCCAGTGGTGTCTGCATTCCAACCCCATGCTTTTGTCGTGTGTAGTATCTCACGCTGCTGTTGCTAACCTGGCTGTCTGCTCTGGGTCACCGCTAACACACTGAGGCCTGGGAGCTCTTTACCAACAGGTTAGAACATTCCAGCTATTGTGCCCATACCAAGGATCTTTCCCATTTGTGTTCTACTCACTTGTCACAATCACCATCCAAAGATCGCCTGGGTCACTCCGTTTTGTGAGAAACTAACCCACTGTGGAGGATACAGTGCAGATGTGTCCAGTGGTGTGTGTGGCTGCTCCTACCAACATCCCCTCCCCACCTGCCACACATGGGAGACTGACCCGCTATAGGATGGATGTTCCTCCTTTCAATCACCATGCTCGGTCCTAGCCTCCTACCTGGGGAAGCCCTGCATGCCTCTGACCAAGCATTAGTGCTACGTCACTTCCTGTGTGAATCCTTTCCTGATATTCTTTCTTCCTTTTGAGCCTTGGTTTCCAGACCATTAAGGTGTGGATCATAATCCTTATCCCCCTTTTTAACTCAAGTGTCACATGACTGAAAGTTCTCCAAAACGTGCAAAATACTATACAAATGCCAACTTACATCACTGCACAATTACTTATACAATAAACCCTATTTCTTTAGAAACTTTACTATTTGTGATGATATAAAATTAGCACATTTCCCCTACTTAATGCATTGCTTCAGTGTGATCTGAGCTTGAAACGTGCTGAGAGCTATGCTCAATTCCAATGCAAAGAGAAAAAATAAAACTGGATCCATACAGAAACAATTAGGATGACTTTGTTCTGTGTGATGTTCAGTTATGGAAATTTTTATTTTCTTTGCTTTTTAAAATTCCAGTCTTGTGAGAGATCACTGACTCAGGTCTGATAAATGGGGAATCTGCATAAGACCAAATTAGGCTCCCTTAATATAGGTGACAATGGTGTGACTGGGATAATAACGTATGAGGCCACTGGCAGTGGGTCCAAGATCTAACAATAATGCACAAACTGACTTAGTGGAGCCCATTCTATATGGAGAGAGGCCTTGCTCAGCCTAGACACAGGGGTGTGGGGGTGGAGAGGTGCCTTGGTCCTGCCCAACAAGATGGTGGGACAGACTTAGTAGACTTCCTAGGGGAGGCTTTATCCTATCTGTGGAACAGATGGGAGGAGGGGGAAGGGGGAGGGAGAAGAGAGGAGGGAGGGGGAACTGGGATTGAAATGTAAAAAATGTTAAGTAAATTCCAGTTTCAAGTTTTGTATTTATTTCATCAAAAGAAAAGTCTTCTTTACAACTCCCTCTACCTAATAAAGTGAGATCTTCTAACATAGTTCTTTGCTTTAACACTAAGTCTTTGTTGCTTTCTGGCTGTCCAATTTGTAGACTGATACACCTACTCGTTCTGGGGCATGGGACATTAAGTTACATTTGCTCAGTTCTTCCACAGCACCAGGAACTCTTATCATCATCACTACATCTATTTATTTGGGGAGGGGCTTAAGTGCCACAACACACGTGTGGAGGTCAGAAGACAACCTCTGGAGTTTTTCCTCTCCTAGCACGTGGGTCCCAGTGATGAAATTCAGGCCATCAGGTTATCCCTGAGCCATCCCACCAGCAGCCCTCCCCCCAAACTCCTTTAAATGGTCTCTGATTATAAATTTCAAGCCTTACTACAACTTTCATTTCCTTTCTGCCAAGCCGGAATAAGGATATGAAAACCTCTAAGCCTCCCACTGAAGGGAACATGGAGTTTAGAGGCAGAGTTTAACCACTGAATTGTGCCACTGTTCTACAGGCCTAGAGACATGTAAGGACTCTCTGGAGGTCCACAATCAGAATAAAGATTGGGGGAGGGCAGAAGCCAAGACATGGGGGTCCAAGAGGGGTCGGTGCTGGGAAGTGGAGGTAGAATATCAGCAGTCAAGGGCACCCTACACTACCTAGCAAGTAAGTCTGTCAGCTGGCGGTTCCCGGGTCCAGGGGGTCTGCCACACTGCATTCTTGTGCCCTTTGTTCTGCTTGCAACAGAATGGAAAATAAGTGTCTTACATTTCCCTACACTACTGAACAACCTTTAAAACATCTCATGAGACTAAATGTGGTTTCCTGGGTTGATAATAGAACAGTGAAAGAGCACTAGTGGCCTATCGATGGGCTTGAAGATTTCTACAGTGTAGTCAACAGTGAGACACCAATATCACATTCAGTTTTTTTTTTTGATTTCCAAAATGCATCACTTTATTTTTCCCCTTGAGATGGCCACACATTATAAACTCCGAGCACGTGACAATCACATGATTTCTTCAGAAAGCTCCCAGGTAGATCCCGGCTCTCCTGGAGCTTGGAGTCCTGAGGTTTCAAATGTTGAAGCTTTCACCACAGCCACAAGTTCCTTTGATGTCGGGGTTATTGAAAACAAACTCACTGGATAGTTTGTCTTCCACATAGTCCATTTCTGTTCCTAAAAGTGTTAACTGTGCTTTCTTTTCGATGAACACTCTGACTCCATCTTGAATAACTTCTTCATCAGAATCTCCTTTTGTCTTTGTATACTCCAGGGTGTAAGAGAGGCCATTACAGCCTCTGGTTCGCACACCGACTTTCAGACCCACGTGCTCTGGCTTGTCTTTGAGAAGCTGTTTTATCTTGTTCACAGCTGAGGGTTCAGCGTGAGCGCCGCCCGCGTGGGCTGCAGCTTCCTCTTGCTCACGGCCCGCACCGTGGCGCGGACCAACGACGCCGACATGGCCACGTCGCGGCGCGCGCCCGCCCGCCCGCCCGCAGCCTCGCTCGGGCCGGAGCCTCTGGGCAGCCTCAGCCTCTCTCCATGGACCTCACATTCAGTTTTAACTTTCTCCCAGACAGAATCTCACATAGTTCAGGCAGACGCTGATGGGGCTTGAAGATTTCTACAGTGTCTAACTAACTTTTTCCCAGATTGAATCTTACGTAGTTCAGGCTGACGCTGAGTGGATCTTTATACCTCCATCTTCCAAGTGTTTGGAGTGCAGGGGTGCCACCATGCTCAGCTAATTAAAAAAATTTTTTATATAAATGTATGGTGGTTATAGAAAGTGTTAACATTAGAGAAAACTTGTTAAATTGTATATGGAACTGTATTTTGTAACTTTTCTGTGTGGCAACTATTCTTTAAAATTGAAAAGTTTAGGCCGGGCGGTGGTGGCGCACGCCTTTAATCCCAGCACTCGGGAGGCAGAGACAGGCCGATCTCTGTGAGTTCGAGGCCAGGCTGGACCGACAGCCTCCAAAACAATACAGAGAAACACTGTCTCATAAAACCAAAAAAAAAAAAAAAAAAAGAAAAAAGAAAAAAACAAAGAAAAAAAGAAAAAAAAAAAGAAAAGTTTATGGGGTTGGAGAGATGGCTCTGTGATTAAGAGCACTTATTGCTCTTGTAGAGGGCTGGGGTTTGGTTACCGGTTTTCACATGGTGGCTCACAGCCATCTGTAACTTTAGTTTCAAGATATCTGACACCCTTTTCTGACTTCCATGGATACCAAGCATGCATATGGTATACATACATTCATTTAGGCAAAACACTCATACAAACAGAATAAAGTTATAATAAATTTTAAAGTTGCAAGTTTTTCTTTTTTAAAGGCTTTGGTTTAATTATTTTGAGATTTACTAAGTTGCCTCAGTTAGCCTTTGCATCGCTGGGAGAAGACACCATGACTTTGAGAGGAAAAGGTTTATTTCACTTACAGTTCTACAGATTAGTTCATCATTGAAGGAAGTCAGGGCAAGACCTCAAACAGGGCAGAGGCCTGAGACAGGAGTTGATTGTAGGGGCCGAGGAAGGGGCTGTTTATACTGGCTTGCTCATGGCTGGCTCTCTTGTTTTCTTATAGGACCCAGGACAGCAGCCTAGGCATGGCCCTGCCAATAGGAAGCAAGCACAATCAAGAAATGGGGTCAGGAATAGTGGTACACAGCTTTTTAAAAATGTTTTAATTTAAATTAGAAACAAGATTGTTTTACATGTCAATCCCAGTTCCTTCTCCCTCCCCTCCTCCCCTGTGCCCCCACAACCTTCTATCCCATCCCCTTTCTGCTCCCCAGGGAAGATGAGGCCTTCCATGGGGGATCTTCAAAGTCTGTCATATCATTTGGAGCAGGGCCTAGGCACCCCCCACCACCACGTGTGTCTAGGCTGAGAGAGTGTCCCTCTATGTGGAATGGGCTCCCAAAGTCCATTCGTGTACTAGGGATATATGCTGATCCACTGGCAGAGGCCCCATAGATTGCCCAGACTGCCTAACTGATATCCACATTCAGGGGATCTGGAACAGCCCTATGCTGGTTTCCCAGCTATCAGTCTGGGGTCCATGAGCTCCCCCTTGTTCAGGTCAGCTGTTTCTGTGAGTTTCTCTAGCCTGGTCTTGACCCCTTTGCTCATCACTCCTCCCTCTCTGCAACTGAATTCAGGAGCTCAGTACAGTGTTTAGCTATGGGTGTCTGCCTCTGCTTCCATCAGTTACTGGATGAAGGCTCTAGGATGGCATATAAGATAGTCGTCAATCTCATTATCAGGGCAGGGCATTTAAGGTAGCCTCTCCACTATTGCTTAGATTGTTAGTTGAGGTCATCCTTGTAGATCTCTGGCCATTTCCCTAGTGCCAGATTTCTCTTTAAACCTATAATGGCTCCCTCTATTATGGTATCTCTTTTCTTGCTCTCCTCTATTCTTCCCCCAACTCAATCTTTCTGCTCCCTCATGTCCTTCTCTCCCCTCCTCATCTCCCCTCCTAGCTCCGTCTCCCCTCCCCACATGCTCCCAATTAGCTCAGGAGATCTTGTCCCTTTTCCCTTCTCTGGGGGACAATGTATGTCTCTCTTAGGGCCCTCCTTGTTTCCTAGCTTCTCTGGTGTTGTGAATTGTAGGCTGGTAATACTTTGCTCTATGTCTAAAATAGTGGTACACATCATTAATTCCAGGACTTGGGATGCAGAGGCAGGAGGATCTCTGTGAGTTTGAAGCCAGTCTAGTCTATAATCCTGAGTTTCATAGAACTGCATAGGGAGAGCCTGTCTCACTCTCCACCCCAAGTCCCCCAAAAGAGAAGAAAATAAATCATAGACTTGTCCTTAGGCCAATCCAGGTCTTTACCAAATGACTCCAGCTTGTGCCAAGCTGACATAAAACTAGCCAGAATGCAAGTCCACTAAATCAATTTATTGTATAACTAAATGCATGCAGTTATTTTTTCTAAAATTATTGTGGAATCCACTAAAGGAAAGAAAAACTATTTGCATATATAAACAAAACTCAAGCAGGTTTTGAACTTGATTTTAAAGCATTCAAAATGCTTTTTAGAAAAAAAAAAGAAGAAAAGTATTAGTTCGGAATCAGTTACAAAGACTTATTCTGCCAGTAAAGTGCCAGAAATTTTGTATACCCATCAAGAAAAACAAAAGTATAGTCTAGCTACCCAATGATGTTACATTTGTCTAAATGTGGCATTTTTTCTGCCCTCTGAGCATCTCTAAATTTCAGTGTCACCATCTGGCAAATACTCTGTATACAGCATAGAGAAAGAACAGTGATAGGTTACTTAGCGTCTATATAGATCTATGATGCTACTTCAAAGAGAGCAATTTGGCGTTACAAGCACTATTTCTATAACTGCCCTCATAAAAGAGAAATGGGCCAGCAGTTCAGTGCTCTTACTGCTCTTGGGGGGACCTAGGTTTGGTTCTCAGCACCCATGTGGCAGCAAACAGTCATCTGTATGCCCAGCTCCAGGGGATCTAACTTTTGACACCCTCTTCCGGTCTCCACAGGCTCCTGAACACATGTAGTACAACACTAATGCAGGCTCATATACATACAAATAGATACATCCTTTTCAAAAATTAAAATGAAGAGGAACATACTGTGCCAAGAATTCCTGGTCTTCTCCTCTGGTTTGAGGAAATGGCCCAGCTGCAGATATTGTAGAGTCAGTTATGCTTTCACTGAAATGCTACTGCTTAAACACTCTTGTTGTGGAAGCATCCAAAGTCTCTTACAGCTATCTTCTTTACCATTCAGATATAGCTGTTTGTGCCAGCCACTGTCAGCTTCGGCCCAGCCAGCAGCACCATCCACATGCGACTGAAGGCTTAGGCTGCATTGTGGTTCTGTTCAGTCAGAGCTGGGAATGAACGCTGACAAGCGAGCTGATGGGAATGAACGCTGACAAGCGAGCTGATGATTCTGCTCACCTTAAGTTGTCTCTATATTTAAAAACTAATGGTACAGGGCCAATAAAGAGACTATCTTAAAATTCAAGGATTACAATCTGGCATCTAGATTACATCTAGATCTCCTGGGAAGCTGTAATAAGACCTTCCACTGGTGAGTTTGAATAAGCAGGAGAGAAAGGAGACAAAGTAGAAGAGGGGAAATATAATTACAGCTCACAAGTTGATTAAGGCCCAGCCTATCTTAATTTCTGAGACTATAGTAAATGGGGAAAAAGAAGCATCAAACAACCCCAACAATTAAAAAAACAAAAAGCAAGCCGGGTGGTGGTGGCACATGCCTTTAGTTCCAACACTCAGGAGGCAGAGGCAGGCGAATCTCTGAGTTCTAGGCCAGTCTGGTCTAAAACCCAAAACAATCCAAAATAAACAAACAAAAAAAAGACCAAACAACAACAACAACAAAAAACCCAAAACAAAAAGCAAACCAAAAACCCAGAGAACTGTAAAACCTGACTTACTAATTTACACAATAAATTAAAAAAAAATTAGCTGGGGATGCTAGTGTACACCTTTAATCCTAGCACTTAGGAGGCAGAGGCAGGTGGATCTCAGCATTCAAGTCTATCAGGAGCAACACAGTGAGATCCTATCTCAGAAAAGCAAACAAACAAACAAACAAGGAATGAGGTCTGACTATGCTACCCAGACTGGACTTCAACTCCTGGACTCAAATGATATCTCCTTCCTAACCCTGAATAGCTGAGACTAACACAGATACAGAAACCCACTATACTACATGTACAATATGTTCATTAAATTTATATCTTAAATATTTCTTCTGATGGTCATTTTCCTAAAGATTAAAATAGATATCGAGATGGAGCAATCTGGCTCCCTTGATCAGAATAACTGTCTAAGAACCAACAGGACTATTGTCATGCGAGTTGACTGGCCATCTTGAATAGCCCATGGACACCTTGAAACAATTATGCAAAGACTGTAGCAGATTTCTCTGCTTCTTGGAGTCACAGCACCAGCCAGGGCTGTTTGAAACAGTTTATATCAGATTTTTTGCCACCTCAACGCTCAGTGAACAGTCCTGCAATCATTCCCAGCATGACCAGACAGAGAGCTAAGAAACAAATCTATGATTGTCACAAAGTGATGGGAATGCATTACTTAAAAAGCAGGTGCAGTTGGTCCAAACAACTGGCTGTGACTGGAGGACACTGAGTGAGTTAGTGAGTCAGAAATGCTCCAGTGTGTTAATTCTTCTGGTCTTGCAGCATTAGCCCCCAAACAACTGCTGTCAAGAGGCCTTGATGACTTTCAGCAGGGCAGGGTAGAATGGTGACACGGAGAAGGAAGCAGAGACAGGCAGTGGCCGCAAAACGACCCCAGCAGCAGTAGCAGGTACCTTGGTCTAAGGAGGCAGCGGTGACTGAGAGCCAGCTATGTGACAGCGGAAGCAGCTGAGGAGTTCAAGACATATCAAACAGGAAGAAGGTGGAGTAGAGAAAGGGAGAACCGAGAGTAAAGAATGAAGTGCTGTAAGAGCCAGAGAAGAGAAGGGGTAGGCCCTGCTCACAAGAGTTCCAGAGAACTGTCAGGCCTTCGGGGCCAAGTGCAGCGGCCTGTGGAGAAACTCAACTTTCTGGACCTAACACTTACAGGGTTAGGCTCTGGGGACTGCAACGCTAGAGGGTGCCCCCTGCTGTTGCTTCTGCGGCCACAAAAGCTGCGATGGGCCAACCTGTCACCCGCTTCCCTGCCTACTCACAGTTCCACCCAAGTATTCGGGCACCGGGCCTTGGCCAACTGCGGACAGCACTAAAGACATGAACCATGGGGTACAAACTATTCTGGACCTCTCAGCACCATAAAGGTGCAAGACGTGCATCATTCAGTCAGCATCTATCTCATTTTGAAATTGCATCCGGTCTACTTTGAATATTTTTTATATGACGCTAAAGCTACAACATCCACTCCTCGGTGTCGATCCTGCAGGCCTCGGCAGAAAAAACATTTTTTTAAAGGCTTAATGAGAAATGCGGAGTGGGATACACAGAAACTAAGGAGCGAGGGAGGAGATGACGGACTACCTCAGTGGCGCTTAGGGAAGTACCTGGAAGCCGGCGCTGGGATCCTCTCGTGGCAGGAGGGCTCCTTCTTTGCGGTTAGTGTCCATCGTCCCGCCACGCTGGAAAACAGGCCGCTATCCCAGCTCTCCAAAGCGCAAGGAACTGAGGAAGTCACACGAGGGAAGACCAGCTTGGCCTCGCGTTCAGGTGGAGGGTGGCAGTGTTACCTAAGGCAAATCACGAAAGAAGAGATAACTTGAAAAACAAACAAGACCACAAAAACGCCCGATGCGGGGCTGGCCAGCCCGGGCCAGTGGCCCGTGGTACCCTGCAGTCCCGGCTCCTTCAAACGCTCCCCCGCCTCCGCAGAGACGTCGGCGAGTCTCCTTGCCAGCTCCCTCACTCGGGCGGGCCCGCCGGAGGTCCGCAGTCTTAGGGGCCCTTCCTCCCCGCGAGCTTGCGGCGCGGCGGCATCTGTGCTCACGCTCACGAGCCCGCCCGAAAGCGGAGGGCTGGGCGGCGCAGAGCCGAGAGACCGGGGAGCGTTGCCGAGGCGGTGCCACAGCCGCGGGACGGCATAGCAACAAGAACGCCGCCGCCGGGGGGTCCGCGCTGCGCAGGCGCAGACCCCCGTCCTCGCCCCCACGCGCGCTCACGGAGACCGGGGGGGGGCCTTGGGAGCGCGCGTGCGCTGTAGGAAAAGCGACAGGGACAGGGCTTCAGGGCGGGGCCGCGACGCACGCATGGCTTCCAATGTTTACTTGGTTCGCCAGCGGTTCAGCCGGATGAGCCAGGTGCGGCCGGGGGAGGAGCCAGCCCTTCCCAGCCGCAGCCTCGCTCTGGCCTTTCAGTGTCCTCAGTGACGCTCAACCGCCACCCGGCCCCGCCCGCCCCGCCCCCAGGCCCCGCGGCCCCGCCCAGGCCCCGCCCCCAGGCCGGCTCGGCGCCCGCGGTCCCGCCTTCCCGTCCTCGCCGCCGAGCCGTCCCGGTCGCGTTGCTCCCCTCCTCCGCCCCGCGTCCTGACTCCTTTCCCTCCTTTCCTCCAGAGGATGTCCGCCTTCCAGATCAACCTCAGCCCGCTCAAGGAGCCGCTCGGCTTCATCAAGGTCCTGGAGTGGGTGAGTGCAGCGGGCGACGCGGACCCCGCCCGTCCGGCCCGGCGCGGGCCGCCCTGCGCGGGGCGGCGATGGCGGCCGGCGGCGTCGAGTCTCTGGGGCGCGCGGCTCGTCCCGGCCGCAGAGCCGTTGGAGCGGCGCTCCTCTCTCTCGGGCCCCACCGCCAGCCGCAGAGGAAGCCAGCACTTCCCGCTGCGGTCCAACCGAAACCGACGCCCGGCGGCCGGCGCCCCCCGCGGCCGAGCCGACCTGCTCAGGGTGTTCGCCGGCGCCCCCGGGCGCTCGGGTTTCCAGCTGTGCGGGCCAGGGACGCGCAGCGAGGCCCGCGCCCGATCGCACCCCCGCGCTCGGCCCCCGACGCCCCTGGCGGACGTCGACCTTGCTTTAACCGTGTAGCAACATCCTGCTCGGAGAGTCCGCCTCCAGCCCTTCCCCGGCAGGCAATCATTAACATCAAAGGAGACTTACGGGCTCGGCCTTGGCACTGGAAGTTAGTTTGCCGAGCGCCGGCCGCGGTTTCCCCTCGCACTTGGCGGCCCACTGGGTAGTTCGGCGCTGGTTTAGAATGTCAACGTAAGCGCTTGGCGTTTATTTGCTCACCGTGCACTCAGCGTGTGCTTTTTATAGCCAGTAGCGTGTAACTCCACGGTTCATATGGAAAAGTAAGGACGTTCCAGTTTCCTACATGTGTTTCAGGGTAGAACTTATAAGTTCCCCGATGATGCTCTGGTTTTCCTATTTACTCGATATGCCTCCAGTTTTATGGAAACTGGAATGGTGCAAAGAGACAGGTGACTTTGTGTACAAGCCTGTTTATGAGAACGTTAATATTTTAATTCCAAAACTAAAAATTATAGAAGAGAAATCGAAGAAGAGTTAAAGATCAAGAAAAAAAACCCTCACATTTAGGCTCATTGAAGGTTACAATTCAGTTTAATAATTTAGATTTTCACCTAATAAACAGACGATTTTAAAGTAGGGGTGGCTTTTGTTTTATCTTGAAATTATCCTTAAGTTTCTTAAGGAATTTCTAGTTTCACTTTGAAGGCTTTTTGTAACCCAGGCAGTAATTTTGTAGTAAGACTATGTTGTGTTAATGGTGTGGTGAATATTTACCTAACAAATATTTGAGTGGTATATTCCAGCACCGTGCTAAGTAAGTGCCACCAAACAGGCATGACTACGTGATCCTTTTCCTCATTCAGGGTTGGGTGGAATATATAAAGATCCATATGGTAAATTCTGTGTCAGAGATACTGAAGGATAGTAGATGAAACAGGAAGGGCATCCGGGAGGACCTTAAAGTCAGAAGAACATTTGGAGGAGGAATACTCAGTCACTTCAGTGGGGGATACGGACTGGCAAAAAGAGCTCATGTCTAGTAGGAGGAAAAGTTGAAGCAGCATACGTTGTGTAAGTACTCAGTTGGAACATGGACATATTGGGCAAAAGTACGGCTCTAGATGATTATGACAAGTACATTTCAAAGCCCTGGCTCCTTCTATGGTTAGGCTTGAAAAACTGGTCTTTTGTGTATAAGGTACTGACTGTTGGGTTGTATATGGAATGGTGTTCAGTGAAGCTCAGACTTCAGGTGAATCCTTGGATTTTTTTAACAGTGTAAAAATGACCAGACAAGGATGGAGATCTGCTGCTTTAGAAGTTATGTGTGCCTAAAATCAGTTGTAAGGATGGAGATGTCTACAAGTTAGAGTATATCTAGAAGTAGCCATCTTGTGATGACCAGCATGTTTCTGGCTTGGGTTGGTAACAGCCTCGTTATCCAAGTCCTTAAGAAGAAGTCCTTAAAAGGAAGAGGGCAATATTTAGGTGGTTAATAAGGATATATTATTGGTAATCCCTTCATATTGCAGCGTTCTGTATATAGGCAGTGGCATATATGCACCTAACTGCTTAGAATACAAGTCAGCAAAGAAAGGAATGGTTAGGGTGGTGGAGAGAAGCATCTTTACATCACTGTTAGAATTTCAAGTAAAAAATGCTCGATAATGTCAGGTGCCATGGAGAACTTATGTAAAATAAGAGCCAAAACATGTCCCTTGTTTTTGGTGGTCAGGATTAACAGGAGTAGCCTCAGTAAAAATCAGAAACCACACCAATGTACTCTAAGTGGGTGGTTGTCTGATAAGGTAATGAATTCAATATTTGGGAACACAGGAGAGAGTTGGTGGTATTAGGAAGAAAAATGAGCTGGGCAGTGGTGGCGCTCGCCTTTAATCCCAGGACTGGGGAGGCAGAGGCAGGCAGATCCCTGTGAGTTTGAGGTCAGCCTGGTCTACAAAGCTACACAGAGAAACCCTGTCTCGAGAAAAAAAAAAAAGAAAGAAAACTGAAAACTAGTTTCAGTTACAACTCATTTGTTTAAGTACTTTCTTTAGTGTCAGCCACTATAATTTGATATGCAACAAAAATCTTTGTGTTTTCCACTTCTGTTAAACAGATTATTAAGGTTCAGGACTCGGGGTTTAAATATTTTTACTGCTTCATCAAACAATTTTTTTCTTTTAGCATTTTGAGGCAGTTTTTCTCTGTAGCCCTCGGTGTCCTGGAATTCATTCTTTAGACCAGGCTGGCCTCAAATCCACCTGCCTCTGCCTCCCAAGTGCTAGGATTAAAGGTGTGAGCCACAGACATTTCTTAAGTAAACTTTCTTCTGTCCCAAGCTGCTAATACTGCCAGTTTTTACTAAAGCCCAGCAGTTTTACCCCCCCATCAGTCTATTGCTTAATCAGTGCAAGTGCCAAAGTACTCGATTAAAGGATTCTGGATGAGACTTGGGAACTCACAGGGGTCTGAAAGCTGAGATTAATGTATTACTGTAAGAAAAACAGTGTTGGGGACCAGAAACAGAATAGAGTAAAAGCCTCTGGGGATGTGATGTAGATATTAGTACTTCAAAGGTAGGCAGAGAGACTAGGGAATTAGCTCAGTGCGGAAAGTGCTTGCTCAGAAACTGAGGGCCTGAGTTTGGATGCCCATCAGTACTCATGTGTACTCAGCTCTGTGGGAAGGCAGGTGGGGCTCACTGGCCAGCTGATCCAGCAGAAATAAGTTCCAGGTTGAGTGAGCCCTGCCTCAGAACTGAGGGAGACCAACAGAAGACGCTTCCCATTGGCCTGCGACCCCAGCGTGGGCACACACAGGCTAGTGCACACACTTAAGAAAGGCAGAGCCACCTAACAACTGAGAACTGGGCCAGTCGCCCTGCTGGGGGAAAAAAGAAACAAACAAACAAAAAACATACTGAGCCTGCGTCAATTACCCTGAAATGTATGATGAAAACCAATTTTTATTTAACTCAAATTTTATCAGTGGCAACAAGTGCTACTAGTTCTCCATGATAAAACATACTCATGTCAACCCAGCCAACCAACAGTGAAGATGCTGATTTACTCCGAAGGTCATGTGAATAATTGAAACGTCTGAAAATCATTATTCTCTCTCTCACATGTGGTCAGAGGATGATGTGCTGGAGTTGGGTCTCTTTCTTTCATGTGGGACCTGGTGATGGAGTTCAGGTCATGAGGCTTAGTGGCCACCATCGTAAGCAGCAGAGCCCCTGGCCCTGAAAATGATTTTAAAGTAAGTGTGTTTATATTCCTTGGGGATTTGCAGCTCTGTACTCAACCACACATGTTTAAGAGTGAAGATGACACAATGCTTTGAGCACAATGACGAAGAATCAGAAAAGACGTCTGGGAGGTCTACACCCCGAAGGGCTCTGGACTGTTAGCAGGGTTTGTGTGGCAGGGGAAAGAAGCACTTTGATACTGATTTCATTGCTCATTCCATGAGAGTAACCTGAAATGCCAGTGCTCCTGGGGTTTGACTTAGTGAAAACAACAAATGTGTTTGGCTCTATATAGGAATGCTCATGTGCAATAGATTTCCAGGGGTGTTTCCAAGTATGTCAATTGATTCCTTTCAAATCAAAATATTAAACATGAAGAATTTAAGTAGATAACTTCGGTTTAATGGTGGACATTAAATAGCAGTGAAGATCCTACAACTAGAAGTGCTTTATTTCAGTACCCATAAATTAAGTGAATTCCAGCATTTCCCAGTAGAATTCTGAGAATAAGCAAGATATATGTATAGGAGATAGTATTGTGACTCTGGCTATAGGATAGATAATTTACTGAAAATACCAGGTGTCCCCAAGTATAGACATTTTTGCACAAGTCCCTTTCTGCATCTGTAACTTGGGTATACATTTTAATGTTACTACCTTAAGGCATATTGTACATTGAGAGAAAATTTACATTCATATATTTTGTTTTCTTTAGCTTGATTTTTGAGATAGGGTCTCATATAGCCTAGGCTGGCCTCAAACTTGCTTTGTAGCTGAGGCTGGCCTTGAACTCCTTGAATTCCAACACCTGACTGCTGGAATTGTATGTACCATCACATCCAACTCATATCTTTAAATCCTCATTTAAGTTGTATTGCAATAGTTTCCTTTTCCCCTAATTCGATAAAGTAGAATCTGTTTTATCTTAC